AAAAAAAAAAAAAAAAGCCTGGCATTGTGGTAGGAGCCTGTAGTCCCAGCTACTTGGGAGGCTGAAGCAAGAGAATCACTTAAGCCCAAGAATCTGAGGCTTGAGCTGTGAGCTATGATGCCACTGCACTCTACTGGGAGCAACATAGTGAGACTCTTGTCTCAAAAACAAACCAAAAAATGGGATATGCCATATATACTGTCTCTATGTTTGATACTCCTGGTGGGTGGCATTTTCCTTGGTAAAAATAAAAATGAGGACCAAAAAATGGGTGTTTTCTGGGTAGTGCCTGTGGCTCAGTGGGTAGGGCACTGGCCCAATATACTGAGGGTGGTGGGTTTGAACCCGGCCCGGCCAAACTGCAACAAAAAAATAGCCGGGCATTGTGGTGGCGCCTGTAGTCCCAGCTACTCGGGAGGCTGAGATAGGAGAATCACCTAAGCCCAAGAGCTGGAGGTTGCTGTGAGCTGTCACGCGACGGCACTCTACCAAAGGTGACAAAGTGAGACTCTGTCTCTAAAAAAAAAAAAAAGGTGTTTTCTAACTTATCATGAATTTAGAATGGTCAGAAAACTATTACCTATCTAGTAGGACTGAAATTCTGGACACTAGCATACGTGTACACAAATGAACTACAACACCTGGACTAATATGAAATCACATTTCATATTGTGATTTGAATATAAAATCACATATTCATAGTCACAAGAAAGTCTTATATATTGCACTCTCAAAAGCTTCTGGAATAGAAGCATTTCCCCTAAACCCTATTTCCTTTTCACATTACCAACGGATAAAGGGAAGATGTATATAAACTCCTCTATGCCCACTACACCAAAGCTAGTTAAATATACAGAACAAGCTCTACAAGATTACAAAATATCCCTTGGCCCACAAGAGTCATTTGGAGCCTGTGTTAAACTCAACTCTTACTTCTTGTGTGAAACTAATTCAATTCTGAAGTTAGCCATTTCTTATGTGTAAATTGACACTTCCTATTGTAGCTCTGAGATAGACTGGTGTGCCTCTCAGCCCTCTCCCTGTTGACCCTTTTTTTGTTTTTGAGACAGAGCCTTAAGCTGTCCCCCTGGGTAGAGTGCAGTGGCATCACAGCTCACAGCAAGCTCCAACTCCTGGGCTCAAGCAAGTCTCCTCAGCCTCCCAAGTAGCTAGGACCACAGGTGCCCGCCACAAGGCCCTTTGGTTGCAGCCATCATTGTTGTTTTGGTGGGCCCAGGCTGGATTCAAACCTAACACCTTAGGTGTATGTGGCTGGCATCTTAGCCACTTGAGCCACAGGCCAAGCCTCTCTGTTGACCCTTGATGGAGAGTTAGCTGTATAAACCTCACTGAAAGGCTGATCTTTTTTTTTTTTTAAAACAGAGTCTCACTTTGTTGCCCTCAGTAAAATGTGGTGGCATCATAGTTCATAGCAACCTCAAACTCTTAGGCTCAAGTGATCCTCTTGCCTCAGCCTCCCAAGTAGCTGGGACTATAGGCACCCACCACGACGCCTGGCTATTTTTAGAAATGAGGTCTCACTCTTGCTCAGGCTGTTCTCAAATCTGTGAGCTCAAGCAATCCACCGGCCTTGGTCTCCCAGAGTGCTAGGATTACAGGGTAAGCCACCGTGCCGGGCCAAAGGGCTAATCTTTAGTTGGCGATGGTCATTCAGGGACTTCATAGATACTGGTGATGATATGTTTCTTTTTTTTTTTTTTTTAGACGGAGCCTCAAGTTATCCCCCCTTGGTAGAGTGCCGTAGCATCATAGCTCACAGCAACCTCCAACTCTTGGGCTCAAGTGATTCTCTTGCCTCAGCCTCCCAAGTAGCTGGGACTATAGGCGCCCGCCACAACGCCTGGCCATTTTTTGGTTGCAGCCATCATTGTTGTTTGGCGGGCCCGGGCTGGGGATTCAAACCCACCACCTTAGGTGTATGTGGCTGGCGCCTTAGCCGCTTGAGCCACAGGCGCTGAGCCGATGATCTGTTTCTTAAGCTCAGTATGCAAGGTTGTTTTTTTTTTATTATAAACCTTACACACTTTATAAATATTCTTCTGTATATAATAGTTAATAAAATGTTTTTGGACAATTAGGTTTTTAGAATTCTTGACAAAAAACTTTTTTTTAATTTCAGATTAATATGAAGGTACAAATGATTGGTTTCAATGTTTGCATTTGTTAGGTAAAGTCCCTGTTGTAGTTGTGTCCCACACCCAGGAGGTGTGCCACGTACCCTTACATTGTGCCCATGAGGTGCCCACTGGCACACCAGTCTCCCTCCCTCCACCCTTCCCTCCTCCCCCATCCCCCCAGCTGGATACAAAATTTTTTTGATATAGCAATTTTTAGCTTAATCTTCTATTTCTGGATGATTGGCGAGAACGGCAGGATCCATTTCCAGAAAATGTTTAAATGTTTAGATTGAGGATGCCTTTCTTTCATGACATTAAGCAATGCGATATCCTCTGCATCCAGGAGCCAACTTAGCATGTGAAGTGTGGTGAGGCTTGGCAGTCGCAACACACACTGACTCAAAGACTTGACTGTGGTGGCCTGAGCTTTGATACAGTGAGTGTAATTCCTGGTGATGCTCAACTCTTGCAAGTTTGGCAGGTTGTCCAGTGCTTGAAAGAAATTTCTGTATCCTTCCTCTGTGATCTTGTGATTGATTGAAAGATTTAAGTTCTCAAGCTTCTGGAAGCCTCCATCAACTGCTACCTTGGCTACCAAAACAAAACATTCATGAAAACAGAATCACAGGAATTTCTATTTAAATAGTGGTAGACTACGTTATTTGCACCAACCTCCTCTCCCACCACTACCATCACTGAAAGTAAGAAATGTCCAATATAGGAGATTTTTTTTTTTGAGACAAAGTCTCACTTTGTTACTCTCAGTAGAGTCCTGTGGCATCATAGCTCACAGCAACCTAAAACTCTTGGGCTCAAGTGATTCTCTTGCCTCAGTCTCCCAAGTAGCTGGGACAACAGGCGCCAGCCACAAGACCTGGCTATTTTTTTTGCAACAGAGTCTCACTATGTCACCCCCAGTAGAGTCCTGTAGCATTGCAGCTCACAGCAACTTCAAACTCTTGGGCTTAAGTGATTCTCTTGCCTCAGCTTCCCAGGAGCTAGGACTACAGGCACCCAGCTATTTTTTTGTTGTTGTTGTTGCAGTTGTTTAGCTAGCCCAGGCCAGGTTCAAACCCTCAACTTTCGCTGTATGTGGTTGGCGCCATAACCGCTGCTATGGGCACTGAGCCCTGGCTGTTTTTTAGAGACGGGATCTTGCTGGCTCAGGCTGGTCTCAAAACTGTGAGCTCAGGCAATCCACCCCCTTCAACGTCCCAAATGCTGGGATTATGGGCAGAGTCACTGCGCCCAGTCAGGAAATATTTTTTTAAATTTCTCTTTAAAAGCCCCAAAGAGCTGATGGGTTAATAAAGAACCACAAGGCCAGGCCAGGTTCTCTGGCTCCTGTAATCCTAGCACTCTGGGAGGCAGAGGTGGATGGATTGCTTGAGCTTAAGTTCAGACCAGCCTGAGCAAGAGCAAGATCCCATCTCTACTAAAATAGAAAAACTAGCTGGGAGTAGTGTCAGGCACTTGTCCTCACAGCTACTCGGGAGGCTGAGTTAAGAGTATTGCTCAAGCCTAAGAGTTTGAGGTTGCTGTGAGCTATGATGATGACAGGGCACTCTACCAGGGTGACCGAGTAAGACTCTGTCTCAAAAAATTTTATTTTTTTTTAAAAATAAAAGAACAGAGACTTTAGGCTTATATAGCCTCAAATGGGAAGTCTTTTTGTACTTCCAGAGCTGGCCAGAATGAATCTAAATCCACAGAAGGACACCAAGAGGGAACAATATGACAGTGAAAATGAAGTGGGTTGAAATTTTCTCAGAGGGGCAAATGTTTCCATGGACATTGTGCAGCAGAAAGCCTGAATAATAAATACCCCTGGCTTCTGTGCGAGGTCAAACATTCATCTCAGGGTAGCTCACCAATCTCCATCACACTGTCATCATCCAAAGTCTGGAAAAACGAGAGGACCCGAAGACGCTGAAGCTGCCGACACTGCTGGACGATCAGTTTGGCCACTTGATGAATCCCATCCCCAGTAGGAAGGATCAGTTCTTCCAGGTTCTTGAGAGAACCTAAAGTGTAGGCTATCAGAAGAGACTCTGTATTTTGGGTTTCCACACAACAGTAATCTATAGCCTAAAACTTACACACCGTCAGGAGGACCCCTGTAGCCTAGATGTCATTCCACTTCCTCCCCGAGGTCAGGAGAAGGTTCAGTACACATCTCCAGACTACCTCTCCAGCCTCCCTTGCTCTGAAATCAGGCTACTTATCATATCTCCATTTCCTCTTTTAGAGGGAAGAGTTTACTGGTAGGCAGGTTACCCCTAGCTCAGCCATGCCTTTGGCTGTCCCCTGCTGTCATCCTGGGGGGGAGAGGGGATTTCCACATCTGCCTCTCAGCACCACAGCCTCACAATCCACCATTCTTTTTTTTTTTTTCCTGAGACAGTCTCACTTTGTCACCCTTGGTAGAGTGCAGTAGCACGTTAGCTCACAGCAATCTCAAACTCTTGGGCTCAAGTGATTCTCTTGCCTCAGCCTCCCAAATAGCTGAGACTATAGGCGCCTACCACAATGCCGACTATTTTTTAGAGATGGCTAATTTTTCTATTTTTAGCAGAGACAGAGTCTCGTTCCTGCTCAGACTGGTCTCCAACTCCTGAGCTCAGCTGATTGACCTACCTCTGCTTCCCAGAGTGCTAGGATTACGGATGCAAGCCACTGTGCCTAGCCCGATATTTCTAATTCTAATCCAATACCTCAAAGTTCTTTCTAGATCCTTCTTTCAATATTTGTAAATTCCTTCTGCAACAATGAGGAAAACTGACTCTCATTATATTCAATGTATTATTTGTTTAATCAACCTATAATGTACACAAGCCACATCTTTGGCCCTAATCCTACCTGGGTCTGCCACCTCAGTCCCCACCCACACTGCTGCCCCCAAAGGAAGGGAAGAGAAAGGAAAAGGAAGATCCAAGCCTGGCAGGAGGAAAGAGGGAAGGAAGGAAGGAGGGAAGGAGGGAAGGAAGGAGCTGATCCTACAGCTCTGCACTCCATAGCTCCACTACCTCTCTTAATTTTTTTGTCCTGTTAGAATGTTTTCTGTGAGCATACATTACTTTTTTTATTAATTTTTTTTTTTGAGTCTCACCTTTTCACCCTTGGTAGAGTGCCGTGCCATCATAGCTCACAGGAATCTCAAACTCTTGGGCTCAAGTGATCCTCTTGCCTCAGCCTTCCAAGTAGCTGGGACTACAGGCACCTGTCATAGCACCCAGCTACCTTTAAAGACAGTGTCTCACTATAGCTCAGGCTGGTCTCAAACCCATGAGCTCAGGCAATCCACCTGCCTCGGCCTCCCAGAATGCTAGGATTATAGGCGTGAGCCACCAAGCCCAGCCTCACACATTATTTTGTAATCATTTTTCAATCAAAAATATTTAACCTTTTTCTATAATCATCATTTTATTAAATCTAGATTTGTACATACTGTTTTCTTAATTTTCTTTCTTTCTTTCTTTCTTTTTTTTTTTTTGAGTCAGAGTCTCACTATGTTGCCCTCGGTAGAGCGTCGTGGCATCACAGCTCACAGCAACCTCAAACTCTTGGGCTACTTGCCTCAGCCTCCCAACTAGCTGGGACTATAGGCACCCGCTACAATGCCTGGCTATTTTTGGTTGCAGTTGTCATTGTTTAGTTGTCCCGGGCCAGGTTCGAACTCACCAGTCTTGGTGTATGTGGCTGGCACCCTACCCACTGAGCTACGGGGGCCACCCTGTTTTCTTAATCTTAAAGGGCAAGTTTTTCCCTACATCCCAGAAATCTTTGAAACAACAGGTCTTAACATGTTTGGAACAGATACCTGACAGCAAACTTTCATAGTGCTGTAATGAGCAAATATGTATTCTAGGAAGTTACTCTGAAAACTTTGCTTTGAATGAGATCAGGTCTGAGGAATGTGCAAAACCAACAGTGAAGAAAGACATTTGGAGGTCAAAGTTGAGCATCCCTGTCACTTCCTATTAATGAGCAAGGGCAGCTAATACATGTCTTGTTTTATTGCAGCTAATTCAAAATAGGAGAGAAAAAATAGGCAGGAAGAGAATAAAGAATAAGTAATAAAACACCGTTTTGTTAAACATACCAAATTTTTCAGATGTTTCCTTGTCAGGAAATTGTTGGTTTCCAACATTTAATATTTTCAGAGAGATAAAATTTGGCAGAATGGCAACTACAAACATGGAAATAAAAATTTAATTATATCAGCTACATCTCTTACAGCAAACAGTAACATCTTTAAAATAAAGAGCATTTAAAAAGTCATAAAATTAATGTAATTCAGCTGGGCGCCTGTGGCTCAAGTGGCTAAGGTGCCAGCCCTAAGGTGGCGGGTTTGAATCCAGCCTGGGCCCCCCAAAAACAACAATGATGGCTGCAACCCAAAAATAGCCAGGTGTCATGGCGGGCACCTATAGTCCCAGCTATTTGGGAGGCTGAGGCAGGGGAATTGCTTGAGCCCAGGAATTGGAGGTTGCTGTGAGCTGTGATGCCACAGTACTCTACCAGGGTGACAGCTTGAGGATATGTCTCCAAATAAATAAATAAATAAATAAATAGATATAAAATTAATGTAATTCAGATTGAATAAGAATGATTAAGTAGAAAGAAAAAAATTCTCCTCAGAGATCTTTGCTGGACTAGAAATGTTTGAAGTTCTAGAAATAAATATACTTTGTTATTTGAGGAATTCATTTAAGATTAGATGTCAAGTACTACAGTTTTGCTCCTTAATATCAACTGCCTTTTACAAATGTAGCTCTTTTGAAAGGGTGCTTAACTTGACTCTGTGACTACAAAAGCATATTAAACCACAATTTGAAGATTGTAACTCTTACCAAATGGGATGCTTTGAAAAAATGATCCAGAAAACTTCACTTCTTTGAGTTTCTTGCAAGAAGAAAGCACAGTCATGAGAGACTCAAAATCCGAAAAGAAATTACATTTCAGATGGAAAACATGAAGGTTGGGAGAATTCTGAATCAATCTGACTGTAAAATACGAAGGATTTTCAGAAATTAAAGAAGACTGCAAATTTCTCCCGGAATTAGCCATGTAATTTTATTCATTTATTTATTTACTTATTTATTTTGAGACAGAGTCTTACTTTTTCACCCTTGGTAGAGTGCCATGGCGTCATAGCTCACAGCAACCTCAAACTCTTGGGCTCAAGTGATTCTCTTGCCTCAGCCTTCCAGGTAGTTGGAACTACAGTGCCCACCACAATGCCCAGCTATTTTTTCGAGACTGGGTCTCACTCTTGCTCAGGTGTAGACTGCCTGAGCTCAGGAGTTTGAGCCTAATTTATTCTTTCTTTTTTTCTCTCAATGATACTCAATTAAAATAAGGCACCACAATGTAATGCTCTGAGAATCAGGTTACCTTGGGCTTAAGTTCCGGTTCTACAACTGACTAGCGAGCAACATGAAGTTGGACAAGTTACTGACGCTCTCTGGGGATCAGTTCTCTCATCTCCAGAATGATCATTGACACTCAGGAAAGTCACCTTCAGGTTTAACAATCTAATATCTCTGCATTTATGCTTGACATTTACACAGTAAGGATATTTGTACAAATAAACATAAAAGGAATAATAACTCTGAAGCAAAACCTGAATTTGATACAAAAATTGCTGAAAATGTAAGAAACTACTACCTCCAAATTCAACGTCGATGAATTTTTTGCATACAACTCTACATGTCAGTTCTATATAGAGTTTTACACTTCTTAGTCTTTAGTGTTCGGTGTTTACTAAATTAAGGAATTTATAGCCCCCAAGTCATTTTGCTAAATTATCATTTAAGAAAGCTGAGGATAGGCTGGGAGATGCTTCGGATGGCTGCCGATCAGCAGATTTCCTTCCCTCTGAGCTGGCAGATCTGTAAGTTGCAATGTAAGACCAACTTAAAAACAAAATGAAATAACTCTACAATTTGAAGAGGTATTAAATAATACATTAGGGGTTAAGAGCTCAAACTTTGGGCTCGGCGCCTGTGGCTCAAGCGGCTAAGGCACCAGCCAC